AGGCCCATTTGTTTTTTTAATATCTGTGAAACACTCAGCTACTGCAGTGATTGAAAGGAGGGCACATTTAACAATATAGGTGTATTAGCCTTGTGTATTCAGGGCAGAAACAATGCTCACTGATTCTCACTCTGCCTGCACTAGTGTAAATTAGGAGTCATTCCACTGGAGATGGATCACATTATATGTGAAATCAGGCACCATCTTTTTCCATGCCTCTTTTTAGACAGTGTAAGAAATAATAAAAGGGGCCTGTTTGAACCCTGCTGAGGGCACTCACAAGTGCGTCAAAGGAACCAAGAACAGCTTTGTTTTCACTTTGTAGTTTAGACAGGATCTTAACTATTTTCCAGATGCATTCAAAGGCCTTGGCCTTGTTGATTTGTTTAGCACAGTAACCCTGCCTTGAACAGAGCAGAATTATGGATGTGTTTACCCAGTTTTGAAAATAATGTCATTAACTCATTTCTGAAACAGTTTTAAAAGCCATGTTATCATTAGGAGGAGTAAAGGGCACTCCGGAATGTATTTTAGCCCCAGCACTCTCTGCAACTCAGCAATACAAAACAAAGCGGTAGTGTTGGAGTTTTCCCACCGATTGTTTCATTTAAAAGTAGGGAAAAATGAAAAAATACAATGGATTTTAAGTATTCATCACGCAATGCCTGAAGTTCTCAGTCCACTTAAAACAGAATTCTCATGAATATGTATGTGGACAGATATGACAGACTGAGGTAACCCACTTGATGCTGTCACTGTTTACTCTATAAAACTGTGTGGCTAGGCCACAGGCAAGAACTCTCCTTTCATGTGCAGATGTCAGAGCTCAATGTCCAAGTTCAGTAGCCAGAAGTTTATTTAGGGAGGCTAGGCATTGTAAACTGCCTTCCAGATGTTGAACTGGGCACTCTTCCACTCCAGGAGTTACCATCTGCAACACTGCCCCAGTCACAGCACAGACAGGAAACTGGACCAGTTTAGTATGTAGCTGCAGCAGCCCTGGATGAGCCAGAGAATAATCTTGTTGAGCCTGGTCCAGGATCTATGATCAAGAGGACAAGGAAGCAGGTGAAGTGATATACTCCTGAATTTACTTAACATGTTAGTCTCTCTTTCCCACCAGTGTCTTCATGCTATAAGAATGTTATTTTCAGCTACTTGGTGGCACCAGTCATCCATGAATGGTAAAGGGCCAATAGCACTCTTGTCCAGGAGTGCATCAGCCACTGTAACAAGGTGGTCTTGAGAGATCTACAAGCAGACCTTTGAGTTGGGGCTGCAGACCTTTGAGTTGTTTCCTGTCTGAAAATGGGACAACCAGTGAGCTGGAGAGCGAATAGGTTAGTATCATCTGTTACAGCTTTCCAGGCAGACTTAACAGTAATGGCATCTCATCGCAGGTCTGGCAGACTTATGCATGCTAGCACATATCACCTGAAGGCTGGTGTAGGATATAAGCAGCCACTGCAAGTGGCTGAATTCAGATTCATGTCAACAAGCTGAATGCAGAGGCAGCACCCCCAAAGCTTAGAATATCATTCAGCTGGAGCATACACAAGGGCCAATACAGAGTACATGGAACCACTGGGTCTGTTCCTCAAGAGGTGCCCAACAATTTTTGAAACAAGGCAGTACCAGAAGAGGCTTCTGAAGTGAAAACTAGTATGTCAGGCTACAGTCCCAATTATCAGAGAGGTAGTCTGGATCTGTAAAAACAAAGAGGAGTCCTGTGGTTCCTTAAAAACTAACAGATTTATTTGGGCATAAGCTTTCATGGTGTCAAAACCACTTTATCAGATGCATGGGGAGTCCCAATTATGTGACATCTGACTGAAATGGCAGTAACCACCCTGTACATGGATCAGTATGGGTTGTCTGAAAAGATGATTGTTGAGATGGAAAGCAGCACCAGCTCTCTTCGTTTTGTTAAGATTTAGTCTCTGCTGCTGGCAGTAAGTGGTCCAAGGCTATGTCTATTCTACGCTGAAGTTCCGAAAGAGGATATGCAAATTCCACGGGAAGTTGCTTATCTTCTTCCAATCTCACTTTCAAAAGTGGAGCTTTCGAAAGTGAAAGTAGTCGGGACACATTTTTTTCAGCCACCCCCACCCCCTTTT